GATTCTCCTCTTTTCAACTTGTTCCCGTTCTCGTCGATGGATAGAATCATTGTCATCATTCGAGGCAACAAAAAAAATCGTCGAAACCGCATCTTGGATATAGAAGTTACAACAATGATCCATGGAGTTTCGCGAACGTGTCAACCCACGCTCGAGAAACGATTTATTAAAATTATTTCCAGACGAAGGGGGAGGTGATAAATACGCGACGCGAATTTCCGTGAGGCCACCGTTCAGATAGACAAGCAACGATCGAACCGGCCAGGAGACAAACGATTTGCGCAACAACGAAAGCGCGACGTAGCAAGATTAAAGGTTTACGATGAAAACGGCATTCCGATCGTTCCTGTAATTCTTCTGGTACCCTTGCAACGGCCATTCTTCTACTTCGAGCCTGCTTGGAAACACGCACCGTGTCATTTAAATGCCTCCGTCGAATTTCGATACCGATTTTCCTCGCTGTTCGTTGAATTCTTAACGTTTCGATTTTTAACTAGCGGTCGATACTCGTTCAACAGCCAAATCGTCGCAATATTCTCGTTCGCGAATATCTAATGATCAGGATGGACTATTAACTCACTCTTCTGTAGGTTTTTGTCTAACTATTTTAATCTTTTTAATCTGTATCGAATTGATCCCTCCTCCACATCCGAATACCTGCTTGACCTCGTCTTTTCGTCATCAAACGGTGTTGTGATTTCACAAGCATCCGAACCTTTCGTACCTCCTGACTCGTATCATCCTCTTTCTTCTTTCATTTTTAAAAAACTTTTTCATAAAGCCAATCACCAGGAAATAAATAATCATCTCTCCACGATAGACTGGGATGGTATTCTTGGTGGACTATCTGTAGATTTTTTATATCAACAGCTCAAATTTGTGATCGATGATTATGTTCCATCCACCGCATTCCTAACTTCTTTATATCCTGACTTTCTGATGAACTTATCGCCCTTATCAAATGTAAAAAAGCACTCCACGGACGTTTAAAAATCACCAATTCCTGCGAAGACTACTCAACGTTTTCCAATGTAAGATCGAGATGTACAAGTCTCTGTAATGTCTGTGTAAATCCACATCTGTAGTTCCTTGCATATTACATCTTTGTACCAAAGGGTTTAATACCCGTTAATAAATGAATAAATAAATAAAAAGTCGATTAATCGACCAGCGACACTTTGTGCCTTCGATAACGAATTTCAACGAAAATTCGGTCGCGTTAGAACGATCGAATCCCAAGAACCGATACCGAGGCGTTGTTCCCGAGGTCAGGGGATCTCGCAATAGCTAAATTCGTGTCACAGCGAGCCTTTTATCGTCAAAGAATCCACGCACATCGCAATTCCCGTTTCGTGTGTCGACTAACGACATCGAAACTGTTGAGCAACGCGAGTCCAAGAAACGGCCAACGAAATATCGAGCCACCTTTCGAGGGGAATCAATGTTCCCAGATAGCAGCTGGTAAACCAGTAAAAAACGAGACTAAGTTCGAGTTACACAAGCGATTCCGTCGCAGATTCTTCGCCAGTTAATCCATGCTTCGAAGCGTGACTAACACGCGAATAGCGACCGTCGAAAACCAAGGTTTCTTCTCCGAGATTCAAGGTTTTCAGGTGCTCAAATTCTGCCTCGCACCTTTGTCTCGTCGCGGTTGCTCTCGCGCCAAGAGGGTGTAACAACCTGTTGCAGCTGCTCCGGAGCTCTCCTCGCGATCAGGTTTTTTCCTTTTTATCGCCCCGGCGGATTTCACGTATTTATTTTATGAAACGATATACATAATATACTGCAAAGTAATGCATCGATCGTTTCGAACCTCGACGAAAGAGATCAAATATGTAGAATGCATTGCAAAAGGGAAACAAGCCAACTGGAACAAAACACTATTCAAGATCGAAATACCGACCTTGAAACATCTATGAAACTCGATCGTCGTTTCTCGAAACTTTTAATAACCGTTCTGGTTCTTCGTGGAACAAACTCTGCTCGAGTTGGTGGAGAATTTGGGGCGGTTGAGCAACGCTCGGAGGATCGTGGCCGGTCCATACACGGTCGAAGGTTGTCGTAAAGGAAAAAAAAGGAGAGAAAATATTATGAAAGGGAAACGGGTACAAAGGTCGACGGGATTCCTGCGCCAAATAAGTTCGAAAGACGGAGGCGCGACAACGTAACTCGCTCGTGGAATTACACGGTTCGTCCTACCTCGTGGCTCTGGTACTCGTTCGCAGAAAGTTATAATCGTTCGCAGACGAGGGGAGACGGTGCAAGTAACATAACTGTACGGATCCTCGCGACGACGAGGGAACCCAGCCGACATTTTTATTCTAATGCCGTGTGCGTACCGGCTGCGATCGCCAAGGTAAACGCGCTTAGGAGACTCGCCACTCGTGAAAATAACAGAGCGACGTACGTCATGCTCGCCTCCATACTAATTCTCAAACTTTCTTTTATTTTTTTCTCTTTAACACCAGATTGCCCGAGGAAGCCATTTTGACTGCTTTTTAATTTCAATTAGAAAAATATAATGACACAATTTCTTAGAATTCTGCGATTTTTCGTGCAACATAATGCGATTATTAATAATTGTAATAACTCCGTTATTATTGCATTTACGAAAAAATGCCAAAGAAGAAAGATAAATGGTTCGAAGAGCACTACATCCGTAGGCCTTTAAATATTTTTTAGATGCAGCAGTGCATGTGCAATGAACAATTGCATCATTTCTTTAAATAGAAATGTATATTTTTTTTTACACAGATCGATTCTCCCGTTCGTTCTGCGTAAAAAATGATTAGGGTACCGTGGCAAAAAAATTATTGGATCTCGAGATATTTTGGAAAAAATGTCTTTATCGAAGAAGATGCTCAAACTGGGTGGAACTGGGTTTTTGGAATGGGAAATTTTTAATTCCAAGACCAGAATACCGAGAAAGTTCGCTGGAAAAGCGACTGTACCGTTTTTCCTCGACGTCCCAAATAAAGAGTCGAAGGAAAGCAGCGCGCAACGAAATCGCGGGGACCTTTGGGAGAAAAATCCCGCGACTTGCTACCGATCCGCGTCAATTGCCATAAAGGAGAGTGCATACGATCGCGGTGCGCCGTGTACCTCGAACGTTAAACACAAAACTTGTCGAGTCAACGCGCTGAGAATGGGCGCGGCTCGGAATGTCGATCGTTCCGCAGGCTCCGGGGGACTAGATCGAGCCAAACAACGCCCGAAATGAAACGATACGAGGCAAAAATCGAGATTCCTCGGTCATCGATGATCGTCGGGTCGGTGCACGGTGACCCAGAAATCTTGGAATTTTTGCTGGGCCAGCGAATTCGCCTCCAATCGAGAAATACTCGACGAAGAAACGCGAAAGAGTTCTGTTCGCGATGAAGTACTGTACAATTTCCACGTGTGAATTAAACTCTTACGCGCGCAGAAACTATATTTTCTCGTTACCTGTTGCGATCGGCGCGAGATAGCTAGATCATAGATCCTTTATTAAGGCCTGATCTCAGTGAGAATTCCTGGAGACTTGAATCACTGAACGTGGAAGGGGATTAAAAGGTGTTTCGATGTAAATACGTAGAAATCGAACGGAATTACGAAAATATAAATATAATTTCCAATTCGTCTCGAGCCCTCGATAATTCTGAAAGAGGTGATATTAATGGAATTAATGGTCTCATCCTTGGCAACTGCTACGGAAGAACGGTATCGTTCGTTACAAGTGCAACACGGCTTCCTCGTGAAATATTTCACGAAAGCTTCGTGAGAACTTCTTCCGCCGAGGAGACTCTCAAGGTCCCCTCGGGGGGTGTACTTGACCTTTGACCGGAACGTTCACCTGCGCCAAGGACGACGGAAGCCCGTGGAGATTCCACTTCCGGCCACGATTCTCAGATCGAACCGTTTCCCCGAAATTTGCTCCCTCCTCAATGTTCATCACAGCTGGTCGAAGCTGTCACTTTTTAACGCAGAGAATTCCAGTTAGTAAATACTGGCACAAAGCTTGGAATTGTAAAACGATTCCGTTGGATAAACTCACGATCTATATTTACTAAAGAAATTAGAAAATCGAAGTAACACGCGTGCAACGATGCACGGAACCGTGCAACCAACGAACTTTCCAACACAGTTTACCGTAATTCGCCCGTGCAACGTGTTGTTAATCGTATTTTAACAACGTTGTCTCTTGAAAAACCAACGATGCAAATTTCCCAACGATCTTTTTCGACCGTATTTCGTTTCGCAAGCTCGATAATCGCGTTCTGCGTCGAACCACTGGATATATCCGGGATGACACAATCATCGATACAAGGAAACCAGTCTTTCTACTACGAAAATATCTCGAATCGTAACATTCCTCCTGCGCGAATCCTTTTCGTAAAAGATCAGAAATAAGATATTTCTAATCCGTTTCTTGCGTAAGAATAATGTTTCTATTGCACGACTATACCCTTGAAAACTATATTACTATCTAAGAATGATACCCTCGACCTTGTAGATCATTTCTTCGTCCGAGAAACGTATCATTTATCAGCAAGGTTGTGTCAGCTCTGTGTTAATCCGTCTTAAAATTTTCTCCTTTTTTTTAACAATTTACCGTAATACCGTAAATTCCTTCAAACATCAGACCAGATACGACTGCCTAAACCAGCTAAGTAACGTACACAGATTCAGATAAGGACCGGGGCCACGGTCAGGACTGTAGAAAGAAATCTTTCACCCAGTGTGCACTGTATCTGTTCCACCGTGTACTCGCGATACGTGAGATCGATGTTTCGAAGGGCTACGGGTACACTTGAGATCTCTGTACGCACTTATGGCAAGCATCAAACTTGACAATGACATAGCGGGCACCGCGAAACGAGGCTCGATTCCACCACTACCGACGAAACGAAAACGAAATAAATGCAACGACACGACCAAGTACACACGGTGTCTAAGAAATAACGGGCACAACGTGACCCGTGGATGGGATCGTCGAAAAAGCGTCTTATCGACGTACGAACCTGGATTTGGGCGCGCTTGACCTCCGTGTAGAGCCAGTTGTCCGTGGAAAAGGCGATCGCCAGGAGGCCAGTGGCAATGATACCGGTTATGGTCGCGAGGGACAGCGTCACTGCTGAACAGGGCATCTTGGTGTATCCTCCTCTTCTTCCTCTTCTTTATTTTCTGACGATTCTTCCCGGTCGCCTCCGTTACGTTCACCTCACACGGCACCACCGCGACGAGCTACGATACTGATACGAACAACAGGTCGTCGTCTTCGAGGCTCCGCGGGCATCCGTGGTGAAAAAAAGATCGTCGCGAAACGGGTCACGGAATCGTTCACGAATCGAGGGACTCCCGTTCGTTGACGCCGATCACGATCGACAGACGAAGCCACGAAACGAAACCCGGGGGGCGCCCCCGATCGAGGAAGAAGAAGAGGACTGTGTACTAGGGACGATCTCTGTACGATGACGACGTCCTTCAGGGTGCGCGATACGCCGCGATACGCATTACTACCATTCTCTCCTACGACAACGACACTAACGGCGCGACTCACCTCGGAGAAAAGCCGAGAACCGACCAAGGAGAGAGAACCGGACCCCAGGTGGGGATGGACGTAGCCCCGGGCAGGTATATTACCTGTGTTTTACCTTCAGCGGTGCTCAATCCCATTTCTCGCTACATCTGCTTGCCCTTCGATACCACGAAACCCTCACCGTGCCCAGAACCCTACCGATTTTTCCACAAACACCGCGTCTCGACCCCCCTTTTGCTCTCCTCGACCACGAAACGCGCCTCCTTTTCTCGGTTTCCACGGAGATTTCAACGCCCGTACAAGCGAGCTCGTGGGACACGATCACGTATTCCGGTGACGCGAAAACTACTTCGATATTCAACAATATTAAAAAACGGTTTACGATTAGCAACACTCGAGGCAGGAATATCCCAGTCGCGAACTCTTCAACCTTCTGCACACCTATGTCATTTTTTCAAGCCCAAACCAAGGAGATATCGTACACTTGAAAATTAAAAAATACAACAATAATCTAAATAAAACAGATATTCAATCGAATTTGTTTAAATTTGCCCTACTTTTTAGCTAACGTAAATTTCAAATATAATTCGGTGTGCAAAGGGTTAACAAAGGACATAGGTATTCTAGTAAATTTCGGAATCTGATATTGTTTACATCGTAACAGGTTGAAATTAATATACAATTGAACTTCTCGATAATAACGAACGCACGAGAGTGGATAGGTGGACGAGGGAATGAGAACAGTTTCGCCGTAACTGTCTACCTGCTTCCATAAAGCATTCCTTCCTTGTTCCTTTACCAAACAGTCCCACCACGGGTGAGATAGAGTCGATGCGAACGCCGGGGAAAAGCGAGGAATTCTTTGCATCTGATCGTTTCAGTACGCCCGGGCAACCTTGGTTAAACTTTTTACAGGATTTGATTAATTTTGATCCGTGTGTGATCCCCTTGGATACCTGTCGGTGATAGATCACCGGGTGAACGTGAGAAGCACCTGCGTACCTGCGGGCATGCAGGTACCGGGGAATTTTTGCGCGTATAATGGGATTTCAAGCTTAATTACTTGCCTCAACATTGAAGGTGTCGACAAGTAATTATTATGTTACACAACGTGCACAACTAGATGCAGAGTGTATCAGATATTCTTGAGGAATCTGCATATTAAAACAAATTAAAAATATCCATGAACACATGTCCTTGTGCTCCTTAATTTTCAAGTTAATTTACCTACACATTTTGTGGAAATTTTGGTGCATAGATTCTGCTCCTTTTGAAACACCCTCTATACTATAAAAATCGAATCTGAAATTTTTTTTTACATTTATATAGTTTCTTAGCTCTATGTACACTTTTATTAATTAATACATATCAATCGATAAATTAAAAGGCGTTATCTCAATTAAATTTCAATATCGAAGGATCGTACGGCGTACCCTCGAAAGGCGACCCTTTTGCATCCCACGCCTTCTTCAAGATCTTCTCCATTTTCTATAAGTAAAATTTTCACGTTTGAAGTGTCGTCATTCTCATAATTATATTACCAATTTTAATTATACATTGCTTACAATTTCCTCGGAAGTTGGCTTGCCAAGAAACTTCTGCTGTTGATTCCACATCAGCTCTTGAACTTTCATTTGCTCCTCCAAGCCCATCTCGTCCAAGTTTCTCGAACAGTCGATCTTATTCAATTCGATTTTAGGCTCGCCGATGATCAATGCTTCCCACCATCTCTCAGAAACTTTCTCGAAATGAATCTACAACAAAACAGGGGATATGCAATGTAGTATGTTCCAAAATACTTTGTCCACTGTTTCTTATCTTGTTTCAACGTACACTGATGTGTTTCCCAGGCACTATGCTCCATACAGACTCGTCTTTTCGAATTTTAAAGGAAAATTCGCCCACGAAAATCGTGGTCCATTCAGAATTGTGAGATTCCTCTGTCTCTTTCTTTCTCGTTCTTGCTTCTATTTTAATTTCTTTCGATTCTAGATCCACTCTTAGATCCTTTGCTGTTTTTATACAGCTGGGTAATTTAATCAGTACGTCCAAATCACTGATAGATTGCGACCATGTGTAGTTTTCTCTCACGGCTCCATTGTAACTTTCGGACGAACGATCCTTTTCAATTGATGGAACTGGTCCACTTGTGATCTCATTTTTCATATCTGTTTCAACCTCAACTTCTTGTACAGTTTGTAAATTGCTAGAATTTTCTTTTACTACCGTTAAGTTATGGTCTTTACCATAACTTTGTACATCAGCTGTTCCACTGGGAAATTTAGAAATATTTTTCCACTTTTGTAAACTGTTCAGAACCAATTTTTCTGGTATACCTGGTGCGAATCCTAATTTTTGGTCCGGAGCTGATTCGATGTAAAAATCTGTACTGCAATCGAATGATAAATTATTTATCAAAATAGCGTATATATTTTATACTATTTTAGTATGACAATAATCGCATATTCATTTTACAATGCGCAAACTTACCATCTGTATAAAAAACCAAAAAATGCTTCTAGGAAATTGGTGATATTCTTCTCTTCTCGTAAAATTTGTAAAAATGCCTGATCGTGATCAGAACTCATTATAAACCTCGTTTTAAATGTAATTATCAAATATTCGTTTTGTTTACTAATAATCTTTCTACTCGACGGTTGATTGGAACAACGTTGTCCCGCCACAATGTGTTTTCGTAGAAAGATTACGTAAAGATTAATCGATCGAGAAACACCGTTTAAAAGAAACAAATTGCTCAATGATCCTCTATCGAACAAACTTATTTGTTATTGTATGGGTTTAACAAACCGAAGGTTATGTTTTGATTTCGAAACAAATTTGTATTTCACAGACACGTTCGTTCTGCATTAAAATTACGCCATAGTTTTGTTTTTTTATGCAATCCTAGTGAGTCGTTTAATTTCTTCTTTAAATTTCATCGAACCGAAATTACAGACAACATTTTGTTTACATCGAACACCCTCGCAACGTATTATTTGTTTACATATTTAACGTCCTGGCGAGCCCGAGATTATTAACAGAAAAAAATTAACAAAACACGTATTCCAAGAATAAAAATGATCGCTGTTGCAGGGAAACTTCGTGCGTGTTCATGTATAAATAATGTAATGGTTCCAAGATTATAAAAGTTTGATACTTTTTTAACCTATAAGTTTGATTGAATTGTGTGTCGTCACACCGTAGACACTGCTTCGATTTAAATAACATATCAGTCTGCTCGTGCAATGACCACCATGCCTAATTTTACCCCGGAAATCGCAAAAGGTATTTAAAGTTTCTAACGAAGCATTTATAATTTAGGTGAATATTCGAGTATCACTAAAAAAGAATCGATCTAACATTTTTCTAGCCGTTTTAACCGATGTTCTGACAGCATTAAATACCCCGGAAAATGTTCAGAAACTCACTGAGGCAAAGGAAAATTCTGGGAACGAAATGCTCAAAATGATGCAGTTTGTCTTTCCAATTGTAGTACAGATTCAAATGGATGTTATAAAAAATTATGGATTTCCAGAGGGACGAGAAGGTTAAATGTTTTCATCTCTGCGATGGAATTTATGTAAATTAGAATTTCCTTTGTAGATAGTCTATCGTTCTTTCGTTTTATTACAGGTACAGTTCAATTTGCACAATTGCTCAGAGCTCTAGAAAGAGAGGACTCAGAAATAGCACAATTACATAGTCAAGTTCGCTCATATTTTCTTCCACCAGTTACTATAAGTTCTTCGACCGAGGCATCGCTTTAAAATAAAATGACTTAAATTGTAACAGCGATTTACTTTGTTCTTACCTTTCACCTTGTCTAACTACAGAAAAAAAACACCCATAAATAGTTGTTTTTGTACCTCGGAACTAATTTCCCTTACAAAAATTTAATCCACTACGGAGGAAAGATATACAAGGGAACTTCAAATTAAATATTTAATCAGAAAAATTAAAATTTTTTACATTTATTTGTATAATAATAATAATAATAATAATAATAATAATAATAATAATAATATAATAATCTACTAAAATATATAATATTCATTCATAATGTCCTTTGAATTTTTTCTGCACTTACACCAACTCTAAAAACTAAACTGTGTTCCATTGTTCGCGTAAAAATGAAGACTCGTGCATCACATGATATACATACAAAAGAGTGATAATTATTTTTTCGTTGTATAGAAAAATACGTTGTTGTAAGAAGAAATTATAAAAATATACTGAACATTTAGCAAATTAAAAGAAAATATTATAAACGTTAAATCGTACATTCAGCAAGCACGACATTAAATACGGTGTCTTTGTCTTCTCTATAAAAGCAGTGGATGCAGATTGTTAAATCAGTGTAATACAACTTTGAGTGTACCGAGTGACTCACACCCTTAATCGCTAACTTCATATTTTCGCGAACATTTGGATAAATATACATTAATAAACATACAATTTCAATCATATAAGCAAGTATGTTGAAAATGCATAAAGAAACAAATCATTAATTTAATGAAGAATAATACAATGGAATTATTCAAGCGATAGTTACTTATAACAGAATTGAAATCACGTACAACTCATGTATAATTCACTTAGGACAAGCAGGCAGATACTGTTCCCCTTTGCCAATCGCTGTGAACGCACAAAATCCGTTTTCTCGTATAAAAATTGTAAAATGCGTTAATAGTTTTAAAAACGAAATGCTGAGTTGGTATCGATACTACCCTGCAAAGTAGTTCCTTTAAAAACGTTACTAATAAATACATATTTTGATTATCGATTACCACCGTTAAGAAAGATGAACATCGTTTTGGTATTTCCATGGAGTCGTTACTAGATAGTCTCGCTTACTCGAGCGTGGAAACAATCGATGTAAAAATAACGAACTCAGCAATATTTCCCCCCCCCCAGTAAACGGGAAAACAACGCACAAAGATGTTAGAAAACACTTTCAGGCTTCGTTAGAATATCCTATTATACCGACTATAGATGGAAAAAAGTGACTTGACAATCGGGGAACGATATGCTGTAACATATTTACAATTTTTTTTTTTTTGTTTCTTTATATAAATCAAGGTACAATTGTAAATTGTTTCGTGTACAACGAAAGCTAATGCTCTTCGCATGATCCTCCTAAGATCATGTTGGTTCGTTAAATCCGACAGTCGGACGCCGTTTCGTCCGGAAATATTTGCACCGAAAATTCTTCGAATTCTCAATTTTTCCATGTAAACCAACATAATCTATTGCATCGATAACGAGCTTCTTGTAAAATTATAGAACGCTCGGATTTAAATAACAGCGACTTCTCACCGATAGGAAAATGCATATCAGCTACGCCTATGTTTGGTTCTCTGTAGTGCATGAAGCCTATGCGAGTAACATTGAACAGTCGCCCAAAAATCAAATGCGTAAAATTTCATAACTAAATTCAACTCGTACGTATCGCGTGTAGCTTTACGGCATTAAAAGATGACGACATTACTTTTGGCAGCCGCGAAAACTGCTACGAACTGTTCTCGTCCGCAAGTACTCGGAGGTGTTATCGAACGCAGTAAATTATTAACAAACGACACATCGCATTGACAACATCTTTTCGGCAAGATGAGTATTTAGTTACGTCGTTGCCGATCTTCTTTCCAATTAAAAGGCATGCAATGACACAAATATTTTTACGAACCGCGATCGATGCACGTCACATAAAACGTATAACTTAAACCGACGAACCCTGTTCGATATAATATACTTTTTGCGAATCACGATTACAGTCTCACGATCTCGTTAGCCGTAGAAAAACACGTATATAAATAGATGGACAAAGAAACTGATTCCGACGTCAACCGTTTTTACCTTCGCATCGCTTCGCTTTACTCCTCTATAGCCCACGGAAAATATCGTTCAATGATCTATCCCTATTACCAAATTGAGTCGCACTTAAAAAATATACTATATATGAAAAAGGTGCTTATAAAATCTAGTTATACCTTGGGGAGCGCGTAAGCGATTTACATAATTTTCTCTTTTCATTTTGCTTCTTCGTTTGTCACCTTTCTCGAGATAGTTCCCCATTCATGATCGTTACGCGATAAAAATACAAGCGATTCAATCATAGCGTACGCAAACATTTCCGGCGCAATAAGCAGCAATAGAAACGAATCTTTAGTGGATTTCTTTTAAAAAATTACTACATAGAAATAAATATCGATGTCAGCGGTATCCTTTGGAGACGTTAATTATCGATTCAAGTGAGTTGACTGTGAACCTATATTGGCGTATCACTTCCTTCGCGCTTCTGTTTTTCATTGATCAAGACTAGAGAGATCGATTATCGCTCCAATCGAATGTAAAAGAGGACGATTGTTATTTTTAAATATTAAAACGAGTATCTTCCGAATACTTTATTTTTATAGGACGTTCTTTTTTTTTCTGTCTTTTGTATGTGTGTCATCTATACCTTGAAATGAAGGTAGTTAATAGCGAGCAAGAAACTTATACCGTACAGGGTTACCGCTAAAAACCTCGAATACTTTTTAGACCACAGTGCTCTTGATTTTACGACCGACATCTTCGATAATTGTATCGTCAAGCTACGAGAGGAACGGATTCGCTGTAGTAGTTGTATTCGCTGCCCAAGGATCCTGTCGAATCTGATTAATCGTAGGACGGGGTGGTGGTGTTGCCGTCGCAAATGGATTTGCTGAGTATGACACGGTTGCTGTAAATTTTCAGTCTTAGTTTTAAAAACTTCAATGTTAAAAAATAAGGATCCCCCTAATGGATGATAACGTATACTATTGACATAAATTTCGTGGCTGTAAAAGATTTACAAAAAACAATGCAACTTCAATACTTTTATCAAACATTACAGTCGAACCATGCATCCATGCAGTTATATGGTTGTAATCAATTTGTGGATACTCACGAATTTATTTCCAATGAAATGCTATCTTACAGACAGAATACGTTAAAAAAAAAAAAAAAAACACACATCGGATTTCAAGTCATTCAGATTAAAGCGTTTTTGGTGATATTAATTTTGTACTTTTGGGGTTTTTTTAAACGTGTACGCTTTGAAATCAGATTTTAAGGTTTATTTAAAATTCAGGTTTGAATAGAACGTTACCTGCAGGTGTGGGCGATGCGGGCTTGATTGTAGAAGTACTGACAAGATTATCAAGATTAACGAGGGCAGAATTCTCGCCAAGGAACGACTGCGGCGTTTTTTTAATTGCCCCTGTACTCGGTAGATTTTCGGCCATACCTCCCAAATCGAATGGATCCGGCGACAGTGTACCTCCTACAACCCCGCAAAAATAACGATATAATTAATACATCATTAAAGTTGCAACATACAGCAAAGTAGCCGGTACATACCGTTATTTGTTGGTTGTGGACTAGATCCATGCTTATTTCTGTTAGTAATCACGTCAAAGTCATCCAGATCGCTCAGCGGACTGGTCGCGGAACTGTTCTGATTCGCCGTGGAGAAATTGTTAAAACTAGGCCCGGTACCGTTGAAACCATTGCTAGTAGCGTTAAAAGTAGCACTCGCGGTTGTAGGCAAATTGAAGCCTATGTTTTGCGGGGACTGCGCCGCAAAACCGATATTTTGCGTTAAGGTAGGATTGTTAAAAGACGGAGATGTAGATGTTAAACCTTCTCTGCCAATCTGGACAATGTCGGAACGATCAAATTAATTTAATAAAAATGTATAAATGTTTTTCGAAGTTAACGAGTATATTTTACCGGTTTTTTAGGTGCATCGGCTTCAGCAATTGGTGGTACCAATGACCAAGGATCCGCCGTAGGTGGAGACGTAACTGGTACAGGCGATGGTGCGGGTGCTCGCCATGGATCGATCGTAGCAGCTGAGATCAAATCGTAAGATAAATCAAAATTATACCAAAGACAGATCGAGGTACTTAAGACAGACCGTCTGAATAATTCGTTCACTTTTAGCAATTGCTATTTGAAAATAATTACCAAAAGTCAATGAGCTATTTAGACGAATCTGTCTCTAACCTCGTACAATTTAACAAGATTTACTTGGTCTTTGCGGCGGAACAGGAGCCCATGGATCTATTACGGGTGACGTGCTACTGGTTGTGGGAACGCTCCATGGATCACTTTGTTGCTGTAAAACAAGAGCCGGTATGTAAATTTCGACGATGATTTTTAAAACGTTTTACGATCACGCAACGACTTTATGACTTTTTTCTTGTATTGATCAAACATACCTTATACATACAAAACTGAGATAAATCCAAAGACTGTTGTGCAACATGCAAAGATTATGCAATATCGTATTACCATGCAATTAAGAAATGTGCATATCTCGTTTGATTTATAATCGCGTACCTGTGGTCTGGGCGAAGGTACCGTGATCGGTACACCCCAAGGATCAGTTTGTACACTGGATCCGCTTGCTTCGCCGCCCAAGTTCACGTCCAACAAATCGAGCACGTGACTTTGTTTCTCAGATTGCGGTTGTCTGAAATTCATGTTCGTTTAGACACGAATCGAAGCAGCAAATATTACGGTTACTAACAGCTGGCTACTAACTTAAAATCCTGCTGACTTTGACTGAGGGCCAATTGTAATCGGACGTCATCGCTACGTCTTCTTTGTTCTTCTTGCTCCGCCTCCTCCCTAGACATTGCAAGAGCTAATTGGAGCTGCAATTCCTCTTCTCCCACTGTTTGTGGCCTTGCAGCTTCCAATTCAGCTAATCGAATCGAACAAATCGTAATTAATCTATAAATATAATGTATGTAATTGTGATATATAAACATTTAATGAGCGTTTACTTGCACGCCTAGCTGTAGATTCAGATCCCAAACGGCATGGTTCCCAATCTTGGAACTATACAAAAAAAAAAAAGAAGCGTTTGTTTAAGAACAGAATCGCGGATTATTTTTATTAGCAATTCCAACAGCACTTACATCATTGCTTACAGGTGACATAGTATCTAATCCGTCGCTCCCAAATCCGCTAACCGATTGCGCGAATCTTTCTTTTGCTTTCAGTGCTCTAGCTCTTTCGTTCCTTAATCTGTCATCGTCTTTTAAGAAGGCCACTAGTTGCTGTGCTTTCTCTCGTACTATCACCCCCTGATCCTTAGATCCCTCCATATATTGGAAATCTAATAGAAACAACGACAAAGGCTTCTTACAAACTGCAACAGTCCTGTATAACATTCTTTTATTACAACAACGCAAAAGGTGTCTACCTTTCAGAGTTTGGATGGCAAAAATATTTTCTTTACATTGCTGTGCAACTTTTTCCGATCCAGTTTTAATGAGGTATTCTAAGAGAAGTAAAGCTTTCCACACGTGCCGCCAATTTTTACCGTGATCGTTCAATCTTTTCCACAACATTTGCATAATCTCGGTAAAAGCCACAACATTGTACGTTAAATCAGCAATTTCTGCCATGAGCGTACCGCTTGGGCCCCAAGGATCATTGCTGGTGGCTTTCCGTACAGCTTTCTGTTTATGTAACAAGATTTTATTTTAAGTCTAGGAGAACTTGAGCATTAAATAACAAAATCGATAACTATTTAATTACCTGCGCGTTGCTGTAGTTGTGGGCAAGATTAACAATATCTCGCCTAATACCTGCCAAATTCACTTGCATCACGTCTTGACCTTGTCGCCTCATCTAAAAGATTACCACTATATATTACAAGCAGGTAGTAACATTCGTACTTCTTCTAGCAGCCCATACTTATCAACATACGCATTCAAGTTTGTAGTTTGTACAATTTTTAACGCAATCAAAATACAAATTCCGTTACATTTACTCCGGGGAAAAGTATCGATCAGAGAGTGGTAATAAATATGGGCAATCGTTTTATACCAAAGCCATGCAACTAAGTATGCATTAGTAAAAAAGCAGGAAACTCATTATAAACATTTTATACTAGTTTATTTTTTACCAAATCAATGCATCGCTACTATTTTTCCATTTGGTTAGTGTAAGAAGTAAGATGAATGAAAGTAGCTAAAGTAAAAGTGCAATTGATACAAAATTAAAGGAATCCCACTTGTAATAATAATCTTTTATCCTACACGTGGTATTACCGCATTATTTGTAAATCAAAATTGTTGTACAACGAACAAAATGCAGCAAGATAATGTGATAGGATTTAATTACTTCACACGTGTGATACATAAAGCTTTAAAGTGGGATAGTTTCTTTTGAGATGTGCCTATATACTATACTCCGGATAAAAAGTTTCAATCAAACCAGTGCATTTAACATCATATAGAATTCAAATTCATATACATGAAATTGTAAATTATATTATGACAATATATTTTTTTTTTTTCATATCCTGCCAACATTCTTAATGATAAATATTTTTAACATTTCTAAAAAAACTCAGCGTTAAAAATTTCTTCAAATCAATGTTACGGATTTAAAAATAACATTTGTTGCAATACTGACTTGCATAATGTGCACAACTTATTGTTATTTTATAATTTAGCAGAAATAAAATACGAACGAATTTAAGTATGTGCAAAAAATTTTATTACTAAAAACTATAATTCATGTATCTTTTTATGCATACAGGATGTTATAAATTATAAAAATATATTCAATGGTTCTACGAATTTTACAAAATTACATGGTTTAGAATCATTACTATCTGTATGCTAATTTTTCATGATTTCTCTATTGTAATAATATACATAACTTCTAACACCCTGTATACCATGTAATGAAGTGTTTTGCAAAACAGTTATCTACATCATTTGTCTTTCAAACATTTTCTAACAATATCAATGATTAGTAAGGTAATAACACTTGTTATTTTGTTGACCATGGCCAGTAATAAAATTTACCTTCTGCATCGCCATTGTTGGCATACGAAATACCGCTGGTGTCGTCGATGAAGCTACTTCTTGTCCACAAATATAGAAAACTCCCGAACACTCTTCGAATCAGAATAAAATCCTAAACTATTAGATGGTTCAGTAAATAAGCAAGAAACATTTGTTACATTTACCTGTTAATGATGAATGAATTTCTTTTTTTAATGTATAAATGATGACAGAGTAACCAAGAGCACTTTGCAAGTAACTTTGATAATCCTGCTAATTATTATCCAAATAAATATTGCACAGAATACTGCATAATTGTATTTCATTCCCTCATTGTAGTAAAATGTAGTGATTTTAAACGTACAAATTTATATCATATGGCGCATACATATGCACGTAGAAGACAGATATATAATATCATTAAGTTATATTACAAATTGTACGATATATCAAAGATATTGCATGTAAAATATACTTAAAAAATAAATAGGCACAACTCATGTTTTATCAATACATAAAGTACACTATTAGTTTAGCTGTGAATACCTGTTTTAAAGTACTATGTACAGGGCATACAGCTGACATATTATATGAAATTATTGGCTTAAAAATAATAATAACATTTTGCTCTGTAAGTTAGTAAAAATACAATTATTTATGGCCAGCAATAATATGAAAAATAGAGGAAAATGTTATCATCCATAAAGAACTATACTGTGTAGTTATAAATTTTATTTTATGTAAAGCACATTTCTAAGACAAGATTAAGATGCTACAAACTTACTCGATTCCTTTACGGAACGAAGGAGTTAAGACTTAAAGTTAATCGAGAAATCAAAGTTGCAGTTTTTGTGCAATATTATGCTCGAGTCCACTAGTATCGTAATTGTAAAAATTATTTAAATTTGAATTACTTTAAAGATGTAAAATACTGGATCAATCGTCGAAACTACTTTTATTCATGATAGAACATGTTACAAGCATTTTAATAAAAGAAATTTAAAATATAAATCATACAAGAAGACAAACTTTTATTATGAAAAAGAAAAGGAATCTGAATTAAACTACTGTTTCAAAAATCAATAGGCAGCATGCAACAATAAAGGCAATCGCATTAAATACTTACATTGATAAAACGGGGGGAGTCAAATTTTACTTCAAGAAAGCCTTGTTATTAAACTGAAAAATAAGAAGATCTTTGTTACTACTTAGCTAATGTCGTTATGTTTCTATCTTATCTTATCACGATACACATACAATGTAAATTTTTATAAAGAAAATATGAACATATACGTGTTACAAAAACTTTTTCAATATAACTTTCTCGTGTAACAAAATTATTTAACAATAAGAAAAATTGTTATTGCTATCATAGAAATATTTTATATCGGTATATTGCAATTACTAGTTCAATTATGAAAAAAGGGTGCATAAAAGGGTCATGAAAATTTTGAAATTGATTTTCTTGAAATAATATTTTTAGATATATCCTCTTTTCCCATCTAATGACTGAATCGTATATTAAAATAATTAGGGTTATTTATTCTTTAATGAAACAGGTTCGGTATATTTAATAGTTTTGTCCTTGACATTACCAAACACTTGCAAAAGATAATTTATGAATACATACTCATGATATGTACACATACCATGGATTCTCATTCTGTTATATCATTGAGAGTAAATATAAATTAAGAATACTTTATTACTATGAAAAACAATATACTGTAGTAGTTATTAATGCGTTAAATCTGCTTGGGATTTTCATTGTATGGTTTCTTTGAGGTGCTTTAAAGGTATTATACCTGTAAACGACCGTGAATCTATCGACCGTGAAACACCGTTTTTTATATCCATTAATTTTTATTCAAGACATTTAAAACGGCACTCGAAAACCAAAATTCCATGGATAAAATCATTGAAACAATCACAATTAATCGAAGTGAAATAATATAAAATCGTGTTCTCGTATCTAAAAAAAATTCTAAACACTCCATTTGTATTATTTTTTTTTTTTCGATTTCATTATTAACCTTAAACGTTCGGCATGACAGCTCAGCACATTTTTTCTCAAAATCACGCGCATTGTTTCCTCGTCACAGGTGAAACAACTTTTCACAATATACTTCCTGGTATCGTTTGAAAGTTTAGATCGAGGAGAGCATCCACATACTTATATCCGTTAATGACAATCGTATGCCATAGAAATATGAAAGGACTATTTATTTTAAAGGAAAAACGCCATCGGATATGCACACGCTCTATACATTACCTTTTAGGTATAACCAACACAATGGGTGTGCACCACACTGTCTAGCTGCAAGCCTAAGTCCATGAAAATACGTGATATGTCAATTTCGAAACTCTCTACCTATGCTTTCTCATGCTCGGGCGTGACTTCCGTAATCTTGTATCTTTTCGATCCGTTTTAAACAGTGTTCGAAGCAAAGGGAAATGATAGAGACTAAGCTAATGGTGAGAAAACGTGTCACGATCGGGATATCGGAGGTATATTATTCTATCGTCAAAACGGAATCGAACTAACACTTTTATCCTACGTACTATACAACTCATAGTTTGCGTGCTAACTGGACAATCAGTTCCCCGTTAATTTATAACGTCCGATCCAATGTGGAACTTTCTACTCACCGTGGCGTGTACTCGAAAATTTAATACACTAATTTTTCAACCGAAACAAGGAACAAAATAACATAAAACACCTATGACAAGTCCATTCACAGGCACTGACGAATTAGGAGCTACGAGGCAAGATGGCGCTGGAAAATATTTCCTTTTCCTCCACTTTGCCGTCCGCGGTATAAACGAGAAAGATTTAACATTCGGTCTGTTTCGTGGGTTCGGAGATAAATTCGAGGCCGTTTGTTGACCAGCGTATGTTCCGCTATTACACGCACACTTTAAACTACTAACGTACTACGTGACTTTTTTTCTATTGAAACAAGGAATTTGTCAATGAAGGGTTGTCTCCCTTTATGTAATCTTTAGGCGCGTTCACAAGCGTACGAGAATTCTGCTCAATTCCTGAAAGTTCAAGGCTGTTCTAAAAGTTGTCGTACGATTCAATCGTCGAAGGATAATTATAATTTTAAGGCTATTTAAAAATATTAAAAAGCATTTCTTTGATGCATCGATCGCCAGACTATTTGATCACGAATTGGCGCGAAATTTTTGTTAGAACGGTTATATCGAATGTGATGTTTGAAACTTAATCTTTCTCATAAAAGTAAGCAGGAATCGTGGAACATCGGACAGAATATAAACTTTTATTGAAAATGCAAAATGCATTTGATGTATTTTGACGAGTATAAAAACGGAACGCACTTGTTTGAAATTTCATGCGTGTACGCCATTATAAAGAGATTCACTTCAGCCTTCAATTGTTGACTGACGATTTCTGTTTTCAAGCTAAAATTGTTTCATCAATATTATTGTCTCGTAACAAATGGAGCCAAACTAGACAAAATTTGAAAAGATTTCATCACCGTACACGATATTTGCCTTTGTGTTTAGTGAAATATATGTAAAAGTGGAGTAGATTAAGGGAGGTAAACGTCAGCATTGTAGTATAACCTCTATTGTTTTTATTATTCGAATGAGAATCAGCATTGCTGCTTCATAAATATTTGCTTAGAAAAAGCATCGTTTTTTAAAGACAAAATGAGTGTAAGACTTTTGAAAGATCCAGCCACTGTAAGTAGCCGTATATTTGTGGGTCATTTACAAACTGATGATATGACCAAACACGAACTGGAGGAACACTTTTCAAAATACGGAACTGTTGTTGGTTCCGCGATAAACCGAGGTTTCGGTTTCGTTCAGTTCGAAGAAGAACAGTCCGCGCAAAAAGCTATTCAAAACGAAAATGGTGCAATGTTCAAAGGCAGAAGAATAGGTATTTTTGTTCATGAAATTCCTGTCAATTATTTTTCAATAATTTTGATTCAATTAATTAATAAACGTATTTGTGTGCATCCGTATCCCATGTTACTTATTTTTTAATCAGACGTTAGACCAGCAAAGAAAGATAATCAGTCTGGAGGTGGTGGAGGACCAGGGAAACAAGGAGGACCTAACAATCAATTCAATTCCAGTGCCAATCATTTCAATGCTGGAAATGATTCTTTTAACAGCGGGAATCAAAGCTATGGAGGAAATACGAATTTTACTCCGAATCAAAGTTTTGGTTCTGACTTACAATTAAACGACAATCAAAAAGTAAATAATATGCAGAATCGAGGTACTGGAAATGATCAGTTTGCAGATGGAAATCAGAATAGGGACAACGATCAATTTTCAAATCAAAATCGAAATAACGGAAATGACCAGTTTAATAACTTGATGCAGAATAAAGGAAATAATCAGTTCAGTCCAGGTAATCAGAATCGAAGCGGTAATCAATTTGGACCGGGTGGAAATCAAAGTAGACCTGGTGGGAATCAAAATCGCAATGCAAATAATCAGAATAATCACAATCAAAGTGGCACTGGAGGAGTGGGAGTGAACAATGCTGGTGGCGGCAGACCAAGAGGTATTAGGGGTGGAAAAAATCGCAATAAGAATAGAGATAGCTCAGGTGGGAACAACTTCAGAGATCGTAGTCCTATCAACAGAGGAGGACGTTTAGACGAAAAAGGTGGTCGCGATTGGGATCATAAACAAAGCGATAGAGTAAGAAACAATAACTTTGTTAGGGACTCGTTTAACGATAGTAACAACCGATTTGAAGATTTCAAGGCAACTGGTCCAAATGGTCCTAGAGACATGAACATGAGTTTTAAGTGAGTCGGAGTATTAATGTTTAAAAATTCCTACTTTAATACCGCCGATCACACATGCTAATTTGATCTTCTGTTGTATTCTAGTAACACAAGCACGTCCAGCGAGTACTCGAATGTAGCAACGGAAAAAAATGACTGTGAAATTATCGTTGTCAACAAAGCGTTAACGTATGTATGAGAATAACGTATTCCTTCGACACTGTTGAAAGTTTTTATAACTTCTCTGTATCAAATTAGGGAGTATGCCGAAAGTATCGAGGCGCGGTTGAAAAAGATTGGATTAACGGTAGATTTACTATTCCCAAACGAAGATGTACTTTTGAGCAGAGTTTTAGGAAATATAGCGAGCCGTGGATGCTTGTACGCCGTTGTAGTTACACCTATCAATCAAGAACATCATTCCCTGACGCTAAATATTCTTCACGGTTTGCCACAAGGTACTTGACCGAACAATGTCGCAAAGGTCTGTTAATGTTGACGTTGATCTAATTTATCTTTTTACGCAGAACACAGAAATATGCTCGTCGACGATGCCATTAATTTAATATCACGAGACTTTTCCAATTACAAAGCTGGTGGACGGTCGGTCCCGTTAAACACACCGTTTGCGAACGAACGACATCCCGATGCCATTCAAGTTCTTTTAAATATGTTGGCCGATAATCACCAGTTAACGGTACTACAGTACGACCGTGTTATAAAATATCTCGAAATGAAGCGCGAAGAACAAGTGCAGGTAGAATTGGGAGATGCGAAAGATTTACCGACGACAACCACGACGATAGCAGTCAGCGACCCGAAACAGGCTGAATTACAGTCGAGGATACTTAATATCCTAAACAGTAATAAACCAAGTTCGTCCGCGCCAGCGCCCAGTCCGGTGCCAGCTCCGGCTTCAGCGCCAGTTCCGGTCCCGCCAGCCACTTGGGGATCAGGTAAAAGTTATACATTTTCACTATTCACGTTTGAACTACATGCATACGACATTCAATATACAAAGATTTTGAATAAAATTTCTATTATTGTAAAATGGCCAAATAAATCTGAACAGCATAAGTATCGTAGAGATATGTCTACAGTGGATTTTTGTTTTACAAAAGTTAAGATCGTAAAAAACTTCCATTGACAAGGAACTGAAACGATATGCGCACTGTACGTGTAGCATTTTCATTTTCTTTCGCGTTGCCCCGGTATAACAGTTATGTTTTATAACTGTGACGTTTGATCCGTCCATTGTAAGAATGGGACAGTATTCGAAATGTTAAATTTCTCTACCGCAATTCGACACCGGTTGCACCGTTTTGCATTTTTAAAAAGATCGTTACCGGTGCATCTTACGGATTTTGGATCACCAATTTGTAACGTTTTATTCCGGATTTGTTTGTGGCGCAGACGAAACTTCTTTTGAATCGCGTATAGAAATTTCCAACGAAGTTTCGAAGTAATTTAATGTTTTACAAAAGAAATGAAAAAAAAAAAAAATGACTTCGTCTAAGAGTTTTAGACAAATAGGTTCAGGTAAAATTTTAACGTAAATATCGATCACGAGTATTGATCATAAACGAACTTCGTACGCTTTGGATTTTTTTTTTTTTTTAATCAAGTTTTCCGTGCGTGTAGTGTTACTGTGCCTGTTTTCCACATGATGCAGTGATCAAAGCGAACGAACTTCGAATATATTTATTGCTGGTATTACAATCGCTAACTACATGAGACATCATGTTATGCCAGCAGCATCAACTGCCGCAACAGCATCCACAACTACTGCTACTACGGGAGTTTCACCGTCACCTCTACTAAACGATCCAACAGTTCAAAAGGCACTTGACAGTCTGTTGCAAGGCAATTTGCTCAAAAGCATCGGCGATCAGCAACCGGCTACAACCACAACACCTCTGTTTGCCGCTTTTTCAAATATCGGCCGATATTAATTCATTTCAATGTTTTCTCATGTTCGCTTCATCCAGCAAGAAATTGCATCTCATTTTATTTCATTCGATGAAGTGAAAAACTCTATGTCGATATTTAATAGGAAAACAGAACATTAGCAAAATCAAAATTAACAGCAAGTGATTTTGATATTTGTCTCCGGTAAAGTGTTAGGTATGCTTTTACTTGCATAAAGTAATACACTTTTTAACACACAGAATTTGATGATTTGTAAGATGTTCTATAGATATTATTTGTATAATTCACAATAATAGGTATACACTGATATTTATCTATACATTTGCTCGATCCTTTCATTCCTAGGACAGAAACATTTAGCATAGTACGTACGGTATAACGTAAACAAAGGAGAAGCAAAATATCGTTGGACGTAAATCCAATTGTTTTCGAGTGTGAGCTTTTATGCTTCTTTTATCCTCTTGCTACCTATTGCTACGAAGTTAATCAAGCTTTTGGATACACTTTGGATATTAAAAGCCAGGTTTAAAGTATAATTGTACACTGTACTTTATCAGAGCCTGAATAGTTTGTTGCGATGATAAGTATTTCGATACATAATATATTGACTTAGTAATCGACAATTTGATTAAATATTTCAATCATTTTCTGCAATTATACGTTATTCTTATATTAGCGAGGTAGAATTTATTATATTATCGTTCTGATGAATTGCAGCTGTTGCTTTGATCACTTTTATAGCCCTTATTAGTCTCATAAAATTATATCACTAATGGTTATAACGTCGTCACACATAATTCTGATTTCAACTGAGATTAGGGGGAAATTTTATGGCTAATTTATAAGCCTTGTAAACTTTGTCTGATGTAAAAATATTTTATATATATAATATTATATATAAAGCATTTCATGTTTGTAATAAATTATATAAGACATATAAAATGTTAAGTTTCCTTTTGCATTACTAAAGATGCACTTATGAGAGTGCAGGTTTTTCTTTCTTAAAGAAAAAGTAGATAGCGTAAAGGAATTTATTATATGTGTTACATATTTTTCAAATCTTGTATTACTACATGAATTTCAATCAGTTTCAATATCTATACGAATATATTACGTGCAAGAAAGATTTAGATGAATATCACGTGTAACTACAATAAAATGTTTTAGGAATACCTTATGTCTTTCATTCACCTTGTTGCAGTGTCGGTGCATCTCTCACGGATCTAGAAAAAAAAAAAGAATATACATTTATAAAATCAAACTTCTATCTTGTACACCTCTAATGCATACATTTTTTACGTACCTTTGCAGCGAAGTGATTAATAGTATGTTCATTTTTACGAAGCAATCTAAGCTATGGATTTTCGAAGCAGCTTTATTATGTTAATAAGCAACAAATAAATCGGTGCACAAAGTGAAGCGTTTAAACAAAAGTGTCTCGCAGTATGTAAGTGAGTATATCGGTTAAGTGGTGTTAATTAAGCAAAGCGATATAAGTGTAAATAAGCGTAAGTATCTACTAAGTTTCACATCGTATTGAATTTACCTAAATAATAACTCTTCAGGTATTGCTCCGCATGTACGATTTCTTCGCACGGCTGGGATACTTCTTTATACAGTATACCAAGAACAGATTTTACAGCGTCGATGTCGTACATGTTTTTTAGCAATCTTTGTTTATAAGGTTTCAATTTCTCTACAAGCCCCTTGTTCTTGCAAACAGAACCGACGTGATTACGAAGTATTTCGGTGTACATCGGCCAGTCGGACTCGCACGCGGGACAGTTGCACTCGAAGAAGTAGTCCTGCATTATTTTTTCTCTTCTTTCAGATCGTGGCATGTGTGCATACGCAGCTCCATAACCTGTGAATATCTGATCTCCGGGATATATTGGCTCTAATGCACGAGTGATCATCGTCAATCCTTCGAAGTGACGGAACGTATTCGGTGCACAAGAATGATTGTACAAGCTGTGCATCACGTACAGACCGGAGCCCGATTTTATTCCTGGTTCTTGTTGCACCTAGAAAATATCAATGTACATTGTATTTTGTGTTCTCATTGCTAATTTATATTTCATAGTATCTGATCGGCAAATTACCGTGAAACAATTAGAAGACATTATGACACAGGCGCGAAACATGAGGCTGCCGCAAAATTTCAATTCGGGGACATTGTTAATATCTTTTAATTGGTTCACTTCATATTTCTTGCAGAAGAAATTAGTCTGCGTGGCTAAAAGGATAGCTGCAAGAGCCGAGATGCATGCAAAGGCACTGAGTCCTATGAGCGGTCTTGTTGTCATATTGGTTGCAAGACTCAAAGCAGATCGTGCGCTCGTACTGTCCAGTATACCTTCGTCCGTAAATCCGGCAGTCCTGTTATCTGTGACAAAGAAATATTATATAATATCTATACACGCATGGTATGTTAAGTTCACTGTTACATTTCATCAGAATTTTCCATATCCTCTAAACATAAATTATGTTCTTGTATTTTTCATTCTAGTAATGTAATCTGAAAGCTATTATTTACCTGGATTAGACTCGGCCACTTTCATGTCTTCGCGCAGTTCTGCGAACTTCTTGCCTTTTGCTGTTACCGTGATCAAAAACCGAACAATTTTGGTAAGCATACGTACTTTATCTTTGTCGACGTTAAATAAATTTCCTAACACTGCCAAAATCGGGCACTCTATGTTGTGGGCCATTTCCCAAGCCAATGTTCTACACTTCTCTGAGCAATATTGAGCCATTGGACAATGCGGGCACGGAATTAAGTTATAACTTCTTGATAAACAATGATGACAATGCGTGTAATACCTGCAATTTACGAAATCGTTATTGCTATGTTCAGTACGTGTACCGATTTTGAAAAATTGCTTACTTTTGCGCGTAAATAATATAAGCGTACGGATTTTCGAAAGAAACTACATCCCCTGGCTTAAATTCTTTGGTGGCTATTAAATGACGTCCGTACTTTTCCGAGTAAGAAATACTGACGCCATCGCTAGCAGCGGGCACCTCTTTGCTAGGACCATAAGCTAACTTTAATGCACCTTCATCTGCTACGTATCTTGGTTCTTTTCCTTTATTATCTATAGATGGTTCATTGCAACCATTAACCGACTCATCCTTATTTCCGTTAACATTTACATTTTTATTCGTTTCTTTCTTATTTTCGGCACTTCCGTTTCGGTACCTTACAGTCACGGGTACATCGGTAATATTCTCTGGCAAACACATACTCATTAACTTCTGCGTGTCGATTGGATCATCCGCTTTAATCTTCAGTTTCTTTTTAATTTCTTCCACAGCTTTAGCACCTCGCTCTTTCAAGTTTTTCCTTTTCTCTTCCGGATATCCAAGATTTAAAGCAGCATCGATATCAATTAAACATGGTTTATACATTTGCTTCCTATATAAAGCCGCTGATCGATTAGCATGAGCATAGGCCATGAGTTCTTCGCTACTTGCATATGCTAAGCTCATCGTATAACATTTTATGGCTTCTGTATCATCACCCATTACAAAATGTTGATTTCCTACGGGTTTTTAAAAGCGTGACACTATAACAAAACGTACAGATTGAATTTTAATGCTTAAACAATTTTGATTACCTTCCTCCCGGAATCTGATAGAATCTTCTTCGTTCTTTGTTTCAGGAATTAAAGTCGGTAGAGGAGATTTTACCATATTTTGCAAAATGTGACCAACGAGTGCTTCAGATTCTTTTTGTAAACCATAACCCGCGTGTGACTCATTACCTTGTTTCAAAGTCAATACTAATTCCCTCGCAGTGTCCATATCCATGGTAGTTATTTTTTTTTTTTAAAAGATTTTCCACAAAACGATTTTTAAATAACGTATTTCATCGAAGACAATTAAATACGTATATAACAGGAAGTAAAGAAGTACCTTGTTCAATTAATTATACAAATTTTTGATATAGATATATCGAATGTTTTTACTGAATGAAAACGAACGATTTCACATACTTCTTGTACACTAGTTAAGAAGGTGTTGATTGGACTGTGGTGAACTATGTACTGGCAGAACCAAAACTGTGAGGTGAAACTAAAATTACCTCAAGCAAGATGATAGAGGGAAGTAGAAGCTGTATGTATGTCTAACCAAGCTTGAAACCATTCATTAAATTGTTAAAGTAGAACTTATATAACGGACAAAAAACATATCCTTTAATTTCATTACATATTTCATTATAAAAATGGTTTTTATAGTTTTTGAATTATTTAATGAATTAAAAAATTGCTGTCTTTTAAAGGGGAAATATGTTATAACAAATTTTTATGTTCAAATTTGTCATGGTATAAAGTCTTTATTAAATGTTTTATATAAACATTTGTATCCTTATCAAATACTTTTTGCAAAGGTAATTATGTGTCACACTCTAGTTACAAGATTATAAGGGAAGTATTCTAGCAGTTTCAAAACAAATTACAAATGTACAGAATGTTTAAAAACGTTCAATAAATATAGATCTTAGAGGTAGTTTTTTCAGTCTCGTTGCATGAGCACTTTGTAATGAAAACAATTTGGCAGACGTCCAAATTTGATACTATGGTTGTGTGTCTTGAATTCAACCTTTAATCAAGCGAATATATATATCACGCGATTCCTAATATTTATGCAAACTATTGTTAAATGAAGTACATATTTATTTTATACATTATTTATAATTAATATCATAGGAAGGTAGAATAGTATCAAGGAAAAATCTGTTGAAATAGAGTAATAAGTTTATTAAGCAGCAATGACTAATTAATTAATTAATTAATTAATATGGACAAACAATAATGATCTTGCATCACAGACACAAATGAAATGCGAAACTGTTTTTACCTGTACATATTGTGAATAAAAAAATGCAGTGTGTATTATGTTAGTTAGAGAACATAGAGAATAATTATATAAAATAATTTGTTCGTGGATTTGATTGGATTAATCTTCCTCCGCTTCTAGATTTATACGGCTACCAAATTTTGCATACAGTTGAGTTTTTAACTCACTCATAATGTTTTTTAAATCTGCACATCTGCTTACCAAATTTGTAATTTCCATTTTCTTTTTCTCTTTAATCTCATCTAAGTAACTCTATAAATGTAAAAGTTTGTATTTTTTAATCAGACGAGCAATCAACTAACAGACAATACTACTACTGTATTTTACAGGAAAATAGTGAACATTTACATTTAAGTGCCGAAGATTGTTGCTAAAGAGGTTATATGTAAATAACAAACCTGTGTCTTCTGTAAGTCTTCATAAATGAAAACTTCGCCTACATAATACGGTATTTTTGCGTTGTCGTCTAGAAGAATTATTTCATCAGAGGCATCTTCCAAATTTTTTAACTCGTTCTACGGAAACCGTTACAATGTGCGTAAAATTAAGCATGACCAAATAAGGTTATGGGTAATACGAAAATTCACATGTACCTGTTTAGTTTTCAATTCTTCTTTCAAGTCTTCCATTTTAGCGTTTTGTCTTGCAAATTTATTAATTTTTTGTTGATCGTCGTACGTAATGTAAACATCGGAATCCTGTAATGCAGTAGAGGTTACATCTAAATTGTAATGATATAGAATTTAACGAAGCAAGTAATTTGTATCTAAACTTACCGGTTGAAAGCCAGTTTGAACGTTTTTTCGTCCCGACATGTTTACAGCTTCTTTTCACGTTATAATTACTTTATTTATAATTTACTATTGGTTCAAGCAATGACGTTGAAAAGAAAACGACATTAACGTCCATTGCAACGATGTCAGACGGAGCCACGGGTGCACCGGGGACACCTCATGCCACTTTCACATACTATGCCAGATCACGTGTACATGAGCACATAGTATTTTTGTTCGATAGCAAATTATAATAAACTAAACAATAATAAGAAAAGCGTGTGATAAGAATGTACGAATATGAAGACTATTTTCCATACGTTGGTTAAATATAACGCAATTATTAAAAATTTGTGTAAAAAGCATCATACGTTATGTGTGTCATACAGAAATAACTTACCAAAATTAAAAAATGAAGTACAATATTTCTGTAATGAAGTAGCTCCATTGAAAGAGGAAATTTGTAATGTAGGCACAATAGGACATGTAGATCATGGTAAAACAACATTGACAGCTGCTATAACAAAATATGTTTCTGAAAGAAATAAAAATTACAAATTTGTAACATTCGATGAAATCGATAAAGCACCTGAGGAAAAAAAGCGTGGTATTACTATAAACATTGCTCATGTCGGTTATGCTACAGATAAAAGACATTATGCGCACACAGACTGTCCTGGTCATGCTGATTTTCTCAAAAATATGATTTCTGGTGCATCACAAATGGATGGTGCAATTTTAGTAGTTGCAGCTGACGATGGTCCTATGCCTCAAACAAAGGAACACTTATTACTGATCAAACAAATTGGAATTAAATATATTATTGTATATACGAATAAGGTTAATATTTATTATAAGTATTTACAATACATTTTTTAAATATTAGTATTCATTAAATAATTTCTAGGTCGACTTGGTAGATTCAGAAATTTCTGAATTAGTGGAGGTAGAAGTAAGAGAATTACTGAATATGTATGGATTTGATGAGTCAAAATGCCCAATAATTTATGGTTCAGCTTTACTTGCTTTGAATGGAGATCAATCAAACTTGGGAGTTCCTTCCATAAAATTATTATTGGATGCTTTAGACAATTACATACCATCTATAACAAGAGATTATGCCTCCCCTTTTGTATTACCTATTGATAATGTTTTCACAGTACCTGGTAGAGGTACAGTCGTGGTAGGAACATTGAAACAAGGTATTATAAAGAAAAGCGATACAGCAGATTTATTAGGATTCGACGAAAAGTTTCAGGCTAAGATTTCAGACATACAGGTAAAGATTAAGATTGTTTCAATGTGTATAGATTAATGATATTTGTATACAAGAGAAGTAACAGAACCATAGTAGAAAATTATATATTTACATTAGATTTTTCAAAAAAGTGTGGAGAAAGCAAGGGCTGGTGACAATATAGGTGTCTTATTAAGAGGTATCAAATTAAAGTCGGTACGCAGAGGAATGATATTATGTCAAAGCAAATATTTAAATTTAAGTAATCACTTTGAAGCACAATTATATTTGCTAACCAAAATGGAAGGCGGTCGTAACAAACCAATAAAAGTATTAATTTTTTTTTTATACGATTAACTAATATAAAGAATATAAACGAATATGCATGTGAAAGTAGCCTAAACCAATTTGGACTTGTTATATGATGTAAGTAAATGGTTGTAAATTTATAATTCACGTTTCACCTTATTATTATTCTTATAGTTAAGAGAGGTAATTGAAACTTGGTGCAAACTTTTTTCTTCTTTCTCTAAAGCTATCAATGTATATGACAAAATCCAAATTGATTTAAACGTTCTTCATATGTCTATTCGCCCATAAACTTTGTTTTCATTTTATCTAACTTGTGCGTTATTTTGACAGAAATCTGGACAGTGTACACATATTTATTGCTCAACTTGGAATATACACACTCGCCTTGATTTAATATTAGAATCAGGAGCTGAAATGTTGATGCCAGGTGAATTCACAACAGCTAGATTAACGTTGTTGTTCAATATGCCAGTAGTGGAAGGGCAGGTTTTCACTGCCCGTGAACAGAAGTGTACAATCGCTACAGGGCAGATTACAAAAGTCTTCAAGTCAATACAAGTTGATAAAAGAAAAATGAATCTAGTAGATATTGGAAATCTTAACACGCTTGCTTCTGCGCAGCCCGCCAAGAAGTCACGATGAAAATACTTACAGATCTCCGATCTGTAAATTGGAGAATGAAACATTTCATACGGAACAAACAAATATGTAATAGTTCAATAACTTTGTTGTGCTCTGTATGTGCTGTCAGTGCCCGTTACTATCAAAATTCGCGCCGCAATGAACGATTTAATGTACGTCAAATTAGCGTAACAACGACGTTCTGATTTGTAAGATTAAAAAAAGTGTATGGACTGAAAACATATACATCAATGTACAAATAAATATTAGTAAATAAAGTGTAGATTTACAGTAGTGCCCATTTAAATGGCCGCGATTATCCCTACAAATTCTTGGAAGCCAAGTAACTTGATACATTGTATGCATATATGGTTTCGGGTGCCAGCTATTGCATCTTACTCGCACTTATCCTCTTTCCTTATCTCCGTTGAACTCTGAGAAGTAACTAATATCCATTTAAACGACTGCGGCCACTTAAGTGGGCACTACTGTACGTCGAGGAAAGGAAATGACACGAATAGATTTGAAAAAATTCTAGAACTTTATTACTCATTTCTTTCTGATACTTCATCCGCTCCTGCTATGATCGAAAAAATTTTCAGTAGAGGCAATTGTTCGCAATAACCGAAATCATAGTATCTTATGTTCGATAATGATCAACATGTAATGTGTATAAGCATTTGTATATGACTATCATGTTTAGCGTTCAAATGTGGAATTCTTTGTAATAATATTTATAATGTGCAAATGGTATACATTAGACAGTTTTGCAACAATGAACATCATTTGCACATGGCTCTTGCATAGCAGAGAAATATTATTTATTTATACTGAAATGTTAACCTTAACCCGCGAAGGATGCAAGGAAATCAGTAACAATCTTCTTCATTTTAGCGTCAGAGGCTTCACTGATCGTGTTCTCTTTAGCGATGGTATCTAAAAGATCTCGTTGCGTGGATCTAAAATATTGGAACGTAAAATTATCAGTCGAGTGAAATAAATATAAATATCGAAACTTTTTTTGAAAGAGATACCTGATGTGAGCAAGGAATTCCTTTTCGAAGGCAGTGATTTTTGAAGGTTCCATCTTGTCGAGATATCCACGGACACCACAGTAGATAACGGCCACTTGCTCTTCAATAGCCATAGGTACTAAAAACATTATTGTACATTCAATGTTATTAATATTTTTATACTTCGAATTAATTATATGTTATAATTTTATATTGTTCTACCATATTGTCCCTGTTTCAGAAGTTCTGTTAATCTGACACCACGGTTTAACAGTTGCTGGGTCGCGGCATCCAAATCGGAACCGAATTGTGCGAACGCTGCTACCTCACGATACTGGGCTAATTCCAATTTCATGGAACCTGCAACCTATCGAACAAAATGTAAAATATATTTCAATACCACTTAAATGTATATAAATATCTATTAAACTTATAAATAGGTTACAAATATACATTACCTGTTTCATGGCTTTTGTTTGAGCGGCAGAACCGACACGGGATACTGACAAACCAACGTTAATTGCAGGACGAATACCCTTGTAGAACAATTCTGTTTCTAAGAAGATTTGACCGTCGGTGATAGAGATGACATTTGTGGGAATATAGGCAGACACATCACCAGCCTGAGTCTCGATAACCGGTAAAGCAGTCAAAGAACCACCACCTAAACTCTCGTTCATCTTAGCCGCTCGCTCAAGGAGACGAGAGTGAAGATAAAATACATCACCAGGGTAAGCCTCACGACCTGGTGGTCGCCTTAGCAACAAAGACATCTGTCTGTAAGCAACGGCTTGTTTTGATAAATCGTCGTAAATAATCAAAGCATGCTTTCCATTATCTCTGTAAAAAAAAAATTTTTAATGAAGTATACAATTTATTAAGAATCATTAAATTTTCGTATGCTTTAAATAGTTCAAGACTTTATTAGAGAAATTACTTTATATAAATAGAAAATACCTGAAAAATTCTCCCATTGCACAACCAGAATATGGGGCCAGATATTGAAGAGGTGCCGCATCAGAGGCAGTTGCAGAAACAATGATGGTATAGCTGATGGCCCCGCTATCCGTCAAACGTTTTACAATTTGTGCAACGGTGGATCTCTTTTGACCAATGGCAACGTAAATACAGTACAATTTCTTCTTCTCTTCGCCAGCATCGTTGAATCGTTTCTGATTAATAATTGTGTCGATAGCAAGAGCAGTTTTTCCGGTCTGCCTGTCTCCAATGATCAACTCACGTTGGCCACGACCAATAGGTACTAAGGAATCGACGGCTTTGATTCCAGTTTGCATAGGTTCCCTGACAGACACCCTTTAAAAAAAAAGAAACGAGTTCCTTGAAAAAATACTGTTAATAAAAACTAATACTCGATTCAATTACTATTACGATAATAATTGTGTTTGAAAAATAAATACCTAGGGATAATACCAGGTGCCTTGGTACCAATTCGAAATCTTTGTTTGTTATTGAGCGGTCCTTTGCCATCAATAGGGTTACCCAATGCATCTACGACACGTCCTAGTAACTCCTCGCCCACGGGTACATCAACAATAGCTCCGGTACGTTTAACGATGTCACCTTCCTTAATATGCCTGTCATTACCAAATACGACAACACCTACATTGTCAGGCTCCAAATTCAGAGCCATACCCTTTAGCCCTGAACTAAATTCCACCATCTCGTCTGCTTGAATGTTCTTAAGACCATAGACACGAGCAATACCATCTCCAATGCTCAGTACTCTACCAGTTTCTTCAAGATTGGTCTATATTTAGGTTCAAAATACATATAAAATTAATGATTACATTAAAATGAAATAATGTACATAGAACATCAGAGTATTATAAGACATTATGTAAGATTTATTGGAAATCGATATTATATATTCATATTATTTATTGTTTTTCGTTACAGATCAAATTTATTGGTTTACCTTTGGAGCTGAACCAAGTATACGTTCTTCCAAGATTGAAGAAATTTCAGCAGAGCGGCGACTGCAGGATACATGATATTTGCAGGAGGCAACACCAACAGCAGGCCACTTCACCTATAACGTAAGATTAAAATTTATTATTATTGTACCATAGAAACAATACCACCCATAACTTATTACATAACTTGGTACCCTTCTGTTTATGTAATACACTACAGAGTTAAAGTGTTTCTAATACAATTCATACTTCAATCATCGCGAAATATGAACAGAAATTATTAACAATTAAACGAGAACATGTTTCAATTAATGAAAAATGAAGAATTAAACGAAGTGGTACGCGAGTCGTGCGATTGTAGCAAGGTGAAAAATGTCGGCAGATAATAATCCCTGGTTATCTCGTAGACGAATTAATTGAAATAAATCGAATTACCTGAATCGTAGCATTTGGTAATTGCCTCGCTATGGAGGAAGCCAAACGTAGGGATAAAAGAGCCATTTTGATGTGTCGAAATCCCGTCAACCCGGCAACGAATTCAGAAGCAAAGAACGATCAAGACAACGATGAGCAGAAGAACGTACTGTTCAACCCCACTCTGACGTCCACATCGACAGGAAGTCGATATCCATTGACCTGCGCCGTAACCTCGAATACAGATACGTGCGCTAGTTTATAATCTAAATTATTTTGAATTCGGTACTCTGTCCAAAGTGTTCCAGGCTACTTATATTAAAAATTAAATTTTTTTTTAAGGAGCACACTAAGCTTATTGCCGATATAATATATACATTTTAGTAAAGTAGATTTTGGGTTCGAGGTTATAAGCACTTGACAGCGCCTTTAAAAGAAATAAGCGCCAAGCTTGAATTTAAAATGCATATTATTATACAACAATTATGTAACTATTATCGAATTAATGTTAAATTTAGAAAGATGTTTACGATGGATTCATTAAACTCACTTATAAATATGCAACTAACACCGGAAACCAATAACAGGTGTTATCAATTACTGGCTAATAATTCTGAGTGTTTTGTTCCAAGATAATAAAAAGAGATACACAAGTGACTTTATTGCAATACAAATATATAGAATCTTTCAAAATATATAGTACAATCCAAAAGAAAGCGATACATCTTGAAAAAAATAATTACGAAATGTAGAGTAAAAATTTTTTTGTAAGAACCTTTGCTTTCATAAAAATTGATTTTGAAAACACATGAAATATGAATTGCATATGCGTACATATATGTATAAATTTACTAGCAATTTTCATAACATATCAATATATATTTTAATTTAATATATCTATCTCGAGAAGTAAATGATCCATCGTTTGATAGAACTGCGTTTGATATTGCGAGAATATATTCTGTAGTTATAACTTAATGATTTGTTATATAATAATGATTCCCATTAATAACGGATATTATCATAAAAGCCATAAGTATTTCTTATGATTTTTCTGAACTGTCAAATGTTCAGGTTAAGTTGGTCGTATATGAAAACGTCATTGCACCGGCGCTACAGTTTGTTATTGTCGTATCGTATTGATTATTGGCGTTGACCATGTTTTAAAGAGATAGTAACACCGATTTTTAGTAAAAACAAATGAATAATCAGCGGGAAGGAAGTGTGAAAAGTTTAAATAATTCATCCATACAGAGAGATGTTCGTTGTTTAATGAGTAATTATACATTGGCCGTGTTTCTTACATGAAAACGGCAGGTGACAGGACTGAAAATTCATTGTTTACAATTTACTTGCAACGATACGATAATTGTTTTATTTAACAAATATATTTCAGGTAAAAGAAGGCTGATTTGCGATAGAATACATGCCCAAATGGCAATCTGTATACCGATACTACTCACTTTTTATTAACCAGTATTTAATATCGTTAAACTAAAAGTATGGATTCCATGACAGAGTCGGAACATGTAGAGAGATTAGTAAAAGAAGCAGAAAGTTTAAAAATACGCTTAGAAGATGAGCGGCAGAAATTAAATGATATTACTCGTAAGTGTCGTGGTTTCTTATTAATTGTAATCTTATAATAATATCCAACGAGCCAAGTTTAACGTTCGATTCAATAATCTATTATAATTTCAGTTGCTAGTGTAGCGGATAGGCTTGAAATGATTAGTTGTAGTAATGTAAAACCACGACGTGTTTTAAAAGGTCACCAAGCGAAAGTCCTTTGTTCCGATTGGTCACCCGATAAACGTCATATTGTTTCTTCTTCGCAGGTCAATAACTCGTAATACAGATCGATTTAAATTTTTGCTACGTAACGCTTTAAAAGGTTATTTTATATTAAAATTTGTTTTAGGATGGCAAAATGATAATATGGGATGCTTTTACAACAAATAAAGAACACGCGCTTACTATGCCGACCATCTGGGTTATGGCTTGCGCTTATGCTCCAAGCGGTGCTCTCGTTGCTTGCGGGTATTAAACATAAACTAAACCGTTATAACAATTAATTATTTTTATGATGTCTGAGATATTGTGTTCGTTCTTTGCAGGGGATTAGATAATAAAGTTACAGTGTACTCTTTGAGCCAAGAGGACGATGTGTCTACTAGGAAAAAAACTGTTGCTACGCATACATCTTATATGTCTTGTTGTGTATTTCCTAATAGCGATCAACAAATTTTAACGGGTAGCGGAGACAGCACGTGCGCTTTATGGGACGTAGAAAGCGGTCAGCTGTTGCAGAGCTTTCTTGGTCATTCCAGTGACGTTATGTCCGTTGATTTAGCGCCAAGTGAAACTGGTAACACATTTGTCTCCGGCAGTTGTGATAAAATGGTTCTGATATGGGATATGCGCACTGGTCAATGTGTTCAAAGTTTCGAGGGACATCAGTCTGACGTTAATTCTGTATGTAAAAGTTTATTATATTTATTATTAATTGAGATATACTGTAACGATAAGCCAATGCTGTTATAAGAAAAATAATTGTCATTATGTCGTGTTATGCGGAGTTCAGGTAAAATTTCATCCTGGTGGTGATGCAGTAGCAACAGGTTCCGACGATGCAACTTGTCGCCTTTTTGATTTGCGCGCGGATAGAGAGATAGCAATTTACGCTAAAGAAAGTATAATATTCGGGGCAAATGCTGTCGACTTGAGTGTCAGCGGACGTCTACTTTTCGCGGGTTATAACGATTACACTGTAAATATATGGGATACATTGAAATGTCAACGCGTTGCATTTTTGTACGGACATGAAAATCGAGTATCTTGTTTACGAGTTTCACCAGATGGGACTGCCCTCTCCACTGGAAGCTGGGATTCGACTCTGCGAGTCTGGGCTTAGTTTTAGCAGAATTACTCTACCATCTCATTATATTATTAGATATAAAATTCAAACAATTCTTTGGTTAAAATGTAAAATTTTAAGTACGATACTCTGAGGATAACATGATATATAAATTGTTGTAACATAAGAACATTGTTATAGTCATAACACAAACGCTGTAAAATTGAGATTCGAAATCGTGATTGAACGTCACGATTATAACAATGTGATAGTTTGACATTAATAATATTTAGGCTGGTCCTAATTTATAGGAAATCGCGCGAATAGTACATCTATTTAATCAAATATGTTATTATCCTATATAAAACTTAATAAAAACATTGATTTACGCATAATGTATATAATCACTGAATCACCTTTCCATTCTTTCGTTAAATTATATCGAAATTAAATTAAATCAAATTTTATTTAATATGCACAGAGTCACTGAGGTTACAAAAATTTCCTTAAACATATTACTCATCAATTTAATTTGTTTATAAACCATGCTATAAGAGTTAGAAATGTGTAAAACATTCCTTGTATTTATATTAATAAAAAATCAAAATCACAGTACATATATTCCACGCTTTTTATTTAAATTCTCCTCTACCTATCCCAGTAACTCCTTAATTTTTGTAAATTCTAGATTTAAAAATATTATTCGAATTTAATTAAGTTATTCAACCATTTCTTTATACATTATTCAATGTAATTAATAAGTTATAAACAATTATTAGAAGCGATTCTTATTTGAATATTGCGCTAAAAACTGCCGTAAAACAGTATCGCCATCTATTATCAGGGATTCGTACTGATACTACGAGCTCACACACACAACATGGTCTATCATTGTGTTAAAATCTGCAAAGAAACAGTATCGCCATCTAATATCAGGGTTTCGAACTCAAAAAATCGTCCCAGGATCACAGAATGTGTGTGGAGGTATCCGGAGTACAGCTACCCCCACTCCTCCTACTCCTGATACGCAGTACCTTGATTATTCATTAATAACTCCTTTTCTGGGATTGAAATATGAACTTTTAGAATTTAAGAATGTAGTATAGACCCTTGGCAACATTCAAGGATAGTTTTTAGAATCATTCCCCCCGTAATTAACAAGTTATTAATGAATATTGGAAGTCTGGACATTTGCAACTGAGTCACCGTCTGCTTTAATCGATGAATTATCAATTTTTCAACAATAACATGCATATTTTGCCTATTGGAGAAGCAAATAGACATCCCTGGCAACATTCAAAGACCAATTTTTCAATGCTCCATGCTCTAATTAATTAGTTATTAGCGATAGATTCCTAAGGTGTCGCGTTAAAAGGTTAAAAACAGTGTGCCGACTTCCGATATTCGTTAATAACTATTTAATAAGGCATCAGATGGTTTTAAAAGGTATCCTTGAATGTTGCCAAGGGTCTATACTATATTCTTAAACTCTAAAAGTTCATAATTTATTCCCATGAAAGGCGTAATAAGTAAATTAACGAGCAGTTGTTAATTACAAGCCGAGAAACAGATAGTACCCTATTTTCGCCACTAGTGGCGCCACAGTAGAAATCAATACTTTCAATGAACTATTGCTCGTTAATTTACTAATTACGCCTTTCCTAGGAACAAATTATGAACTTTTAGAGTTTAAGAATATAGTATAGACTCTTGGCAACATTCAAGGATAATCATTAAAACCATCTGATGCCTTATTAAATAGTTATTAACGAATATCGGAGGTCGGCACAATGCGTCTAACCTTTTAACGAGACGCCTTAGAGATCTATCGCTAATAACTAATTAATTAGAGCATGGAGCGTTACAAAATCGGTCTTGGAATGTTGTCAGGGATGTCTATTTGCTTCTCCAATAGCCAAAATATGCGTGTTATTATCGAAAAGTTGATAATTCATCGATTAAAGCAGACGGTGATGCGGCCGTAAATGTTCCGACTTCCGATATTCGTTAATAACATGTTAATTACTGGCGGAGTGGTTCTAAAAACTATCCTTGAATGTTGCCAAGGGTCTATACTATATTCTTAAATTCTAAAAGTTCATATTTTATTCCCGGAAAAGGAGTTATTAATGAATAATCAAGGTACTGTGAATCAGGAGTAGGAGGAGTGGGGGTAGCTGTACTCCGGATACCTCCACACACATTCTGTGATCCTGGGACGATTTTTTGAGTTCGAAACCCTGATATTAGATGGCGATACTGTTTCTTTGCAGATTTTAACTCAATGATAGACCATGTTGTGTGTGTGAGCTCGTAGTATCAGTACGAATCCCTGATAATAGATGGCGTTAGGTATTTCGCTATGAAAATCGTATGGACCCGCAGAGATACTTATAAGATTCTTAATTAATAAAGGATCTTAAACTTTAATCTTAATTTAAAGAGTCATTAAATCTGGCTACCGATAGTAGATGTATAATTTTGGTTACACCGTTATATTAAAGACTGAGAAACGTATTTTGTGTTACCAAAATTGTTTCCTACAAATATTTACTCTCGAGCGTTTATACAAACGAAAAAACAATAATGATATCATGTAAAAATGGACATTTTTTTGTGACGAATTATTGCAAAAATGCACATAAAAGATGCCATTTACGATATGCCTCTACAAGTTTGTAAGTATATTGGCAAATTATTGATGTGCCATTTATTGGAATTTATTTTAGGAATTTTTATACATAATGATTTTGTATAGAGCAGAATGGAAACCTACGATAGGTCTGGAAATTCATGCTCAGATCGCGTCGAAATCAAAACTGTTTTCTGGAGCCTCGACAAAGTTTCAGAGTTTAATTAATTCTTGCGTCTCGCTCTTTGATTGCGCGATGCCAGGAACAATGCCAGTAAAGTATAATAACTACTTTTAGAAACCGATTAAGTAATTTTCTAATACATTATTATTGTAGATATTGAATAAAAAGTGTGTAGAAGCTGGAGTATTAACTGCTTTGGCTCTCTCTTGTAAAGTAAACGATACTTCGACGTTCGAGAGAAAACACTATTTCTATTCCGATTTACCTGTAAGTATTTATTACGCAGCCTTGGTACATAGATGGCTATGCAAGTAGAAGTACTCGGACACGATTATAGGAATTAACATAGCAATTGTTTTACACAGGCCGGATTTCAAATTACGCAACACAAAAATCCTTTGGCCGTCGATGGTGAAATTAATTTCATGGTATTTAATCCAAGTATACATAAAGAACCATATTTGAAATCATCTAAAATTAAACAAATACAATTGGAGCAAGACAGTGGAAGAAGTTTCCACTACGAATCACTTGGAAGGTATTAATAATTCAGAGTTTTAATTCTTCGTGGTAACTAAAAGTCTATACCTTACTCCGAAATAGAAACTTGAAAACATAATTTTTGTTCAATTTAAAATAGGAGTTTAATTGACCTCAATCGTGCTGGATTACCTCTGATGGAGTTAGTCTTTGAGCCAGATTTATCGAACGGGGAAGAGGCAGCAGCACTCGTTAAAGAACTTTGTTTGATTTTACAATTGATAAACACGTGTTCGTGTAAAATGGAAGGTTACTTTATGTATAAAATATTGTTCTTTGAAAGTAATTATTAATTATGGACAGATATTTAACATTAAAGTGTACTATTTGTAATTGCAGAGGGGGCATTGCGTGTCGATGTAAATGTTTCTCTGAGTAAACACGATGCACCTTTAGGCGTTCGTACGGAGATAAAAAATATTGGAAGTACACGCGCGGTCAATAATGCCATTGAATACGAGATAAAAAGACAAATTTCAATTTTAGAAAGAGGAGACGAAATTATCAACGAAACTCGCTTGTGGGATCCAATATGTAAGAAAACAATTCTTATGCGTGAAAAAGAAGAAAATCACGTAACGTATTTAATGTTTGGCCATTTCTCGCATAAACAAATATTGCGTATTTATTACTTTTAAAAGAAATTTATAAATGATTTTAGGATTATCGTTTTATGCCTGAACCAAATCTACCTCCTTTGCGTTTACACGTCAGTGAAACTGAAGAAAATAAACATAATTTGATCGATGTTTTATCTTTAAAAGAACATTTACCCGAACTGCCAGAAGAAATAAGACGAACGATAATGGAAGATTATTGTATTACACCTCATATAACTATTGGAATAATGGTAAATTTAAACAGTGATAATTATTAAAAGCATAAAGAAATGATTATATATATATATATTAATAATTTTTACTTTTCCATGATAGAGTGATTTTGAACTATTACAACTGTTTTGTAATATAATAAAAAATGATAAGAATCGTAATCCTACGTTGGTAGCACAGATTCTTCTCAACGAAGTATTGGCTTTTCTACAACGCCACAACTTGGAATTTACATTTTGGTAAGATTACTGCAATACGAGGAAAAGTAAAAACAGAATATAAAACTTATCTTTGTGTTTTTAGTACAAATAATATACACTATATTGAAGAGTTGGTCGATTTATTCCAAGCTAAAGTAATAAACTTTCAAATAGTAAGAAAGATATTGGATCAATGTCTCGATAAACTGGGAAAAAAGCCAATACAGGTGAAAATAATTATTTAGAAATTGAATTATGAAACATTTTCTAAACAATAATGAGTTTGACTGTTTATAGGTCGTCGAAGAAAATAATTGGTTCTGCATATCGGACAAAGAAGAATTGGAAAAATTATGTATAGAAATAATCGAGAAAAATCCGAAACTCGTTCGAAAGTATAAAGCTGGAAAGACAAAAGTATTTAAAAAATTTTTACACGAAGCAACAAAACTTACAGACGAACGCGCAGACATGGGCCAAGTTTCAAAAATTTTCACAAGACTGCTGAGTTAATTTCAGAATGCCGCAACGTTTTTTTTTTTTTTTTTGTAATACAATGTATGAAATATTTTGAATAATAAGTCTATTAATAATTGGATGCGTCTATTTTTTTTTTTTCAGCATATTTACACATCTCCACATTTTAAATATCATATAAAACATGTAAATCAATTTTTCTAACATTTACTTTTATAAATCGTAGTTACAAATACAAAAACCAAATGGAAAATAAATATTTGTAGTTTGATAAACCGGAGGCTAGAGTAATCTCAGTCTCCTTTGTAATTTTAAAAATTTAATCTAAACCAACGCAAGTTGGTATTAACCGTGTTAATTATATTATAAAATATTTCACAAAAACATCAGAGCATATTCAATGACTTTTATCTACTACATAATACCTGAGGGTGGGACATGTTTATTAAAGTGATACAAAATATGATAACAGGAACAATCTTTATCGTATCAATAAAGTACTGTTAAAGATTAGTTTCTTTCATATTATCTTATTTCACTCCATAAGAAACACTAAACGTAATTTTGTAAATATTGTCAAGATGCGTTGACATGAAAAATGCACGGCAAAATGTTTACAAGTAAATTTCGTGATTACGATTCGCTTAAGAGTAAATTACAATGTTATAAACAATGTACACTCTTGGACATTACATTTCCAAGTATCGTCGTAGTTTATATTTACAGGCGAAGATATAATTTAAAAAAAAAAATCATTGTTATGCATACAAATATTTAACAAAGATTGAACCGCTTATCACAAATTGTACAAAATCTTCTTTTTTTTTTATATTTACATAATAACAAGTATTTGTATACTGTGATGCTAGGTTTCATCTAAACATTCTTCAAATACAGTAAGCACATAGATATTGCTATTATATAATACAATGAAAGTATCTATATACTAAACAGTTACACAAAATCGTTATTCCGTAATAAACGTTGTTATGAAATAATTATTTCAACTTATCTTTTTACAATTCTTTACAACAACATCATTAAAAAACATGTCACATATACGTTGTCATTTGTTCATTTCTCGATACCTATAAACTTTTTAATTTTTTATCAAAACTAAAACTTCATTAAAAATATTCCTACCTAGAAAGTAAGAAACATTTTCTTCCAATTCAATTAATTACGCTAAATCAATCGTTAAAAGTAAGAATACAGTTTCCATTCCACAGTTGATATCAGTTATTAGAAACTACATTAGCTTTAGCGCCTCGCATCTATTAAGTTTCGATCGTTTCAATTATTATTTGTTAACAACGAATTGCAAAAGAATGTTAAAAACGTACATATTTTTTTTTTTTGTTACAAGAATTTTTACTTTACTGCAAAAACGGCAATGACGGAAGGATTATAAACTGCAGTCTTCCAGGAAAGGCCACTTGAATAGCATGAAAGTCATCCTCTTAAATTCACTCCTTTTTTTTTATTGTTCTACGTAATCTTGTAATACGTCACGAATGTTTTCGCCTGCATTACAATTATGGAAACAAGTTTATACAATAAATTTAATATATACTTTTGATGTGTTTTTTTTTCGCGAGTAAAAAATTTCTCCTTATTTACTTCTAAAATGCCACATTATCTTTTTATCTATTACATATTTACAAAATGTCCTTACAAAGAGTCAACATTAATAACGAGATTTCTTTAAAAAAAAAAAAAATTGTCATAAAGAACATTTGTTTTTCTTTCATCGATTTGAACCAAGTACATTTTGCTTCATAAAGCGTCGGCTCTAAAATGAACCATGAAAATTTATCTTCGACAGGAAGAGTTAAATGTGAGAAAGTAAAAATTCTAGGTCCTTTATGGTCAACTATTCGCAATTCTAGGAATAGGAGCAATGTCTCTTTTCGCTCTTGGCACAGCCACGCGAGTAATTTGCTTGATAATAAATTAAATTACTAGCATACGAATAAATTCATCAGTAACGTGATGATGTAAATATACATTGCAAGAATACTAGCAATAATGATCATGATACTTTGTAGCTAAAACAATTCATTCGATGCAATTGTAATGCAACATAAGAAACACTATGCAGCCATTTTTTTTATGGCCACCGGAGTTATTTGGATAATTTGCTGATTACTCTGATCAAGGCACCGTTTTCATCTTTTAGCCTCTGGTTTTCGCATTTTAATTGGTCCATCACCTAGAAAAAAAATGTATAAACTACTTTATGTTATTTCTAAATATATACCTCTTACAAAACAATTTACAAAGGCAATGTCATTTTAGAACGGATCAAATAAATGTTCACAAAATTAAGAAACGAAACAACCATAAAAAACGAAAGAGAAAGGAAAAATAAGCGATTATTGTTGCAACCAGAGCTGATAAAATTAAAGCAATGTAACAATTGGGCGCACTAAAACCAAAGGAGCGTATAATAAAGTATAACAGGCAGGAATAATTTCAATGCTGTACAGAAATTTTAAAGAGTATAAAATAGGACAACGAAGAGAAAAAAAAAATTCGAATATGTTTCACGAACTTCATAAAACCTCTCTTTAAAACTTAAAATGCACTTACGTATCCAATAGTACGTTACACATTTGTTTTTCGTACTTTATTACGAGTATGAAGAAAATGTTGTACAGTAAAAAATAAAAAAAACTTAATTCGTAAAAAGTAACTGCTAATGTATACCCTAACAGCTGTATTTCAGCTACGATATACTTTCTGTTTTCTTTTTCAATATATTTTTCTATAATATCTTCAGGTCTCAGTACATCCTTATACATATAGCACTTACACAATAAATCTATTACAATGCATAAATACACAATAGTGTAATCTATAATTTCTGTAATGTACGAGTATTTGTAATGTATCTTACAAAATATTTCACTGCAAAACTTCTATTACACATCAAAATAAAGTGTAATGTAAATTGTACGAATCGGGCATTAAGAAATGAATGTCAGATAAATGTATAGTGCAATAAAAAACAATTTTACATAGAACATGCTCTTTTAGGAAAAGGGGTATAAATCTATACTAATTTTTGACTATTCCTCTTAAGACATTTCTCCAAACGAATTAGCACTATCATCTCGAAGACTTTCAAAATACGTCCAAAATAGAAATTATCTATCAATCATTCTAAAAAATAATACGTGCATGATATGCACTGCAATGCTTTCTATTATTTCATAATATTCTAAATTATAAAGTTATATTAATTAAAAATTCCAAATATGTAATAATGTGAAATATATAAAAAAGATAAATCAAATTTTAAACAAAATTTGGACTTTTTAATTGTTTAATTGTTTAATTAAAAATTCTAAATTAAGTTCTTTGTTAAAATATTGTGTCTAGAAATAAACTGCATTATTGGAGGACAGACTGCATTTTCCAAATTGAGGACAGACTTTTAATACGGATACTCCCTGTATCGTTATAAATAACTGAGTTATAAGACATTTTTATCAATTTTATTAAAATAAAATGTAAGATATTTAAAAAAAAAAACCCCCACGTAATAAATATGTACATTTAATTAGTAGAACGGAGAGAAAAAAAACGTAATTTGAAATAATCATAGCATAATTTCTATTAAAAGACATGTTTTATGCAAGCTTGAAATTTTTATATGAGAAGCTGTTATTGTATTTGAGATGGAACTGTTTTTTAATGACCATAAGTACGCGCAATACATTTTACGAAGCTGTATTGGAAGATAAGTCAGTGAGCGACATCGTTTCAAAGTTTTAATATTGCGATCAGAACGTAAAAATCGTAAGTAATCAATTAATTAATTAATTAATTAATATTGTACGTGGAGTACGATGTACACTGTTAACGCAGATGCTGTCATTATTGTCCTTTACCTATTTAGTAGTATTGGTGAGTTTGGATACGACGCGGGTAAGTGCCCGATTTTCGGCTTTCAATCTCTCATTTTCAGCTTTGAGCTTTTGTAATTGCTGTAAACAGTGAAACGATTAGCCCAAGTTCCGCTTGTCTTGTAAAAGTCCCCACCAGACAACGCTATATAATCTACGGCATCATTTGTTACGCTAATAACATAATCTCCGGAGGTACCGTTCAAATATATGGACAACGAAAACCACACGGAGTGTAAATCAAAAGGAAGTACAAAGTGCCAATTAAAACCATTATATTGCATAAACAGTAAGCGTGATTATTTAAGAAAGATACTAAAAAAATAAAAGCACCAAGAAATGGCAAATAAAGAAGAAAGCAATGCGTTAAAGCTGCCTATACTTTCTGTACTTCTTTGTTTGTTTGTTTTCTTTTATCCAAATTAACCACTCCAGAAATGCTGGGGCACCTTCCTCTGTATTTAGCCGCAACAATCAAAACGTAATTTAAAAACGAAAAAAAAGAAAAAAAAAACTGTGACGTGCATTCTATCTAAGGAATATATAATTAAAAAGTCGTATTAAATATGATAATACATAGTAATGACAGTTAAGGTACGTTGAATAATAATTGTTTGTATAAAGTACAATTCCCTAATTTAATTGTATTATATATATATATATATATATATATATTATATATATATATCTCTCTGTAAATTTTATTATTAAAATAATTTGTAACATGGGAATGAAAAATAAAAATCTTCGATCCTTACCTTTAATTCCTCTTCCATTTCTGATAGTTTCCTTTCCATTGCTCTCCTTTCCCTTTTCTCAGCTTCGGATAAAACTGTTTTATTTTGGGCACTTTGTGCTTTGTCCAATAAATTTCTGGCTTCCTTTAATTGTTCATCTGATCGCCTGAGTTTTTCTTTAAGCCTTTCGTTCTCTGTCTGAGATTCTTCGTACAACTTTTTATAATCCAGTTCACCGTTTTCGGACGCCGCAGGTTTTATTCTAACCGATAAGGAAGGTGCTTCCGATGATAATGATGATATAGATCCCAGCCTGTTGGATCTCCCGGACCGATCATTTCCACTCTATAAAACGAAAATAAACAATGGCAACGTGAAAATGCGAGTTAAAATATATTC